AATTTCTTATCATTTGTTCGAGATCATCACAAAGACCTATAGAGAATTTAAACACGCTCATAGTATACGTGGGGAGGCTCTGTAAAATTGATTTGACCAGAACCTCTTTACCCCCACCCTCTTACTAAATCTTTCTTTTAAACTTTGAATTTACCATTAACCATTCTTCCTTCCGGAACTGAAAGTCCTAGATGTTTTTCCTCAAAACTTCTATCCTGGGTTTCCCAACAGAAGCTGATTGCTGCAATATTACTTTCAGAACATTTGTGCTCAAACATGACACTACATTTATTGTTACTAATTGACTGACCAGTGTTTTTCTCATAGATATTCAAAATGTTCTTCACAATCTGGGCTTACTGTTCATTGGCTTTCACAAACAGGAGGCTATCATCTGCAAATAAGAGGTGAGAAATACCTGGATCATGCCTGGATGGCTGGATATATGGAGTTCCTGCAGTCGGCCATCGGCAATTTCCTTGTTAATCAGAGTAGAGAACCCTCTGCTACCAGAAGGAAAATGTAAGGAGATAATGGGTCACCTTGACTGAGGCCGTGAGTGGGTGAGATGGATTCTAGGAGCTGCCCATTGAGACGAACAGAATACTTGACTGATTTTATACATTACATCACCTAACTAGTCCACCTATTTTGGAAGCCAAGTTTTTGGAAAACTTTCTCCATGTAGTCCCAATCAACATGATCATACGCTTTGGCCAGGTCAAGTTTATAGGCACAAAATTCCCCTCTTTTGTCATTGCACTGTTGAATAACATGGAGGCATTCAAAAGCTATAATAGCATTGTCTGTAATCATCCGACCTAGGATAAAAGCACTTTGAGTTGGGGAGATGATGTCCCTGCAGAAGAGGTCGTAATCTATTGACCAAACATTTTGAGATCACCTTGTAGATAACATTGCACAAGCTGATGGGTCTATAATCCTTGATTTCCTTGGCATCTTTCTTTTTTGAAATTAGAACAATAACAGTGTCATTTATTCCTTCAGGCATTTTACTAGAGGCAAAAAAAAACTGCTTTACCCCTTTGATTACATCGTCCTTTATGAGGTCCCAATTCCTTTGGAAGAATCTAGCTGGAAATCCGTCAGGTCCGAGGGCTTTTAGGGGACCTATTTGAAATAAGACATCACTGATTTCCTCATCTGTGAAGATTTTGCACAAAGAAAAATTCATGTCATCATTTACTCTCGCCTGCAGGTTGTCAATGACTAAATCAGGTTCCACTGAGTTATCTTTTGTATAAAGTTCAGTGAAAAAGCTATTTGTTAACTTGCCGATCTGTATTTCATTTGACACAGTCTGACCATTGTTGTCTTGGATGCTTGAGATTCTATTTTTCTTTTGCTCTCCAAGACGCTAGACCTCGTTTGCCACACTTACACATCTCGATGCATCTATATTAGAGTCTCAACAAGACCACACACACAGATTAAAATAAATACGAGTGCCGCCGAAAACTCTATTTGAGTTGGATCGGATTGAGTACTTGGTTAGATTAGATTGAGTTAGAGCTCTAGGTTTCATAGATCATCCCACTTTCACACATATCACCGTGAATCCGCAAGGAGCGTTCTTAGTCGATATGCCTCAAAATCACACTCCAGTTGCAGATTGGGACCGTTGTTGCACGTCTCGGCCAAGTCCTCGTCGCCGCGGCCAAACACTGCCGCCGCCGACCTCCGCGCCACCAGTAGTAGTAGAAGCTCAGCGTCGCCGCCAGCACGCTTCTCGGCGTAAACCCGCCGTAGCTTCATGTGTTGGCATCCAGCCCACGTGTAATCTGGTGCACGTATGAGTCGCACTGCACGTCTGCAACAGCGCTGGCACCGACGTGCCGTGTCACCGCCCTTCTTCTTATTCGACCTGCATTCATTTGGTTGGTTTTACGAGTTAGTTTGAATTTTGGTGATCTTTGGTTTATTGTGAAAAAAAACTATTGGCTATTGGTTTTGGTTTGGGTTTGAAACCAATAAGCGAACAGGCTGATTATTATTCATCCCTCCTGTCCTTTACAGCCGCACTACAAGAAAGCCAAGCGAGAAATGAACCAAGCAATCTAGTAGAGTGGACGGGAGAATTTTGCTTTTTCTGGTTGAGCGTCACGCTCTGCGTCAGACACACTTAATCCACAGTCCCCACCCATCCTAAACCCAGCTAACTCATCTATTCACATGTGGACCAATAATCCATCTAAACCTACCGGAGCACAGGCCTAATTGGCATCCAAGGTTGTTGTCATTGTTTCATCCCGTTGAAGCTGTACTTGTCACACACTAAATAGCTGGAGAGCTCGGGTCACGAAAAGCGACAACTATTGGCAGCCCGTGAAAACCGACTTAGCCGGTTTTAGCAAGGAACGTCACGAAGACCTACTTAGCCTCTCGAAAATATCCGTTGGAGCGACGCGCCTAGAGGTATTTTAGGATTGACAATGCCACTCAGAACATCTACAAATCACGTCGAGATAAGTGCAGGACAATAAGGTATCGTGTTCAAAGAGATTAGAGTTTAAGATGTATATAAAAGTACCCCTTTATTCTAAATTATAAATCATTCTGGATTTTTTATAGGTATATAGCTTTTGTAACGTATCTAGATATACATTATGTCTAAATAAACAGTGAAAGCTATGTATTGAAAAAATGGAACGACTTAAAATTTAGAATGGAGAGAGTAGATTAGTTTGTTTTTAATCGTTTCAATACTCTCAATTCACATACCCCCTCGTATTTCTATAATATATAGGGTGGATGGTCTTATCCATTAGAAACGTTTACAACTCTAGAATCTACATGTGTTTCTAAAGTTGACTTGGACTCTAGTAAAATCGGTCTGGCTAGTTTCCCTATTGTCAGTCCCGATACAATGGAAAACATAGCTAGCTAGTTTGGCAGATCGGACCGGCTAATATTGCCATCTTCAGTCCAAATTGATCACCAGTATATGCTCTAAGCTTTTAAGGTAAAACTTGCGAATCTAAAAACACATTATAACCATAAAACATCTAAGTGCGATAATTAACAATAGTAGATTGTTTGTTCTAAGGGCTATACTAGTCATTTTTTCCCTTTTATGCTTTTTTCCACACTCTCGGGTAATATGTATTCAAATATCTTCCATTAAATGCTCTAGATAGATGATCACCTTGCACCATTTGCACAAAAATGACCATGATTATCTCTCCATCCTATAATATAAGAAATCTAATGTTTAAAATTTATACCAAAATATAAGGTATTTTGAGTTACCCAACCCCCTTCCTCCTCTATTTTTGTTAACAACATGCTCCTTTTCTTACAAACTATTCTCGTCATCTACTAAGGAATAATGGAACTACTCCTTCCATGCTAATTAGTGAGGAGTATGGTCGTCTTTTGCTAGCCTTATTTTGTATGAAAATTGTTTGGATTTCTTATATTACAGAATACAAAATGGAGGGAATACATTGTATGGTCGTTTCTAACTTGAAGACTGCTAACAATGTTCCAAAATCCAAACTAGATCACAATCCTAAAATGATTTTCCTATTATCTTGATGCGGTCAAGTAGGAAGGACAACAACAGCCCGACAAAGTGACGGTTAGGGGTTATTTGGCACGAGTTGAGGAGTTGTTTTACATATTCGACAACCAAACATCCCCACACAACTCCGCTCTAGGGAACAAGCTCCATGATTTCTGTTGAGACAAGCAAGAAGAGAGAGGAGCTTAAAAACCTAGCTTCTCCTAGCTTTGTCACGAGTGGGCCCATCACAGTCATGGTCAACTTTGCCCTCATGGGGAGACAAGGCCGGCCTGGGTAGGGTCGATGGCACGGTGGAAGGGGTGGAGGCGGTGCGCTCGTCGAAGTGTAGGGGTGGGTCGTCCGGGGCACACATGCGGGCGTCGAGCCATGCGAGCGCCCAACCGCCGAGTTGTCGTGCCACGCGTGGACGAGCTTGTTGGGCGCATGTTGCGATTGGAGTGAGGTGGATGGGTGATGGTGGAGCTGAGAGATGGGGAAGTGAGGAGGAAGAAGAGACCAATACGGTGGTGAAAAGAAGGGACAAGCCGAGGAGAGAAGAGAAATAATGAAAAAAAAGAAAGAAAAAAAAAAAAGATATTATAGATATTTTCTTTTTTCAACAACCAAGACAAAGTTATTTTATCAAACGTTTTATAACTAGACAAACTAGAACACAACAGGTCGCTTCTTTGAAAAAGTTAGGTTGAAGTTGTTTTGACCAAAGCACACGCGGTACCAAACATGCGCCTGAGGTTGTTTTTGATCAAAGCTGTACCAAACATGCGTTTAACATGAGTACTCCCTAAAAGTTGAGTTGATTTGATTTTTCCAAAAAAAAAAAGTTGGGTTGATTTTTTTTTACAGAGTGAGTAAAATGCAGCCGGCCAGCAGCGCATTGCAGTAGTAAGTTAGGGGGTGTTTGCTTCTTTAGGCGCTCCTAAAATTTATGTCATATTAAATATTTAGAGGCTAATAAGAAGTATTAAATATAAATTAATTATAAAACCAATTACATAGATTGAGGCTAATTTTTGAGACGAATTTTTTAAGTCTAATTAAGCTATCATTAGCACACATTTACTGTAGCACCACGTTGTCAAATCATGAACTAATTAGGCTTAAAAGATTCGTCTCGTAAATTAGTCGCAAGTTGTGCAATTAGTTTCGTAATTTGTCTATATTTAATACTCCATGCATGTGTCTAAACATCGGAATTTTAGGAGGAGGGGAAATAACCAAACAGGCCCTTATTACAGGAAGGTTTCACTGTTGATGACGTCACTTAGATATGGATTTCTGCGCGCTATGCCAGCCGGCGGCCTGGCAGGACCAGGACTGAGCGCACCGCAGAGGCACAGGCGCACAGCCCATTATCATCGATCAAACAAGAAATTAAAAAGGAAAAATAAAATTAAAGTCCAAGTCTTACCCGAGTCCCCTTCCCGATCCGCCGGCCGATCCACCCACCGCCGCCATGCCGGCGTTCAAGGCCCCGGCGCCGGGCTTCGCCGTGCGCTTCAGCCCGTTCCACGAGAACCGCCTCCTCGCCGCCACGTCGCAGCACTTCGGCCTCGTGGGCAACGGCCACCTCATCGTCCTCGACCTCGCCGCCGCCGGGCCCGGGGCCGCCCCGGCGCCGGTCTTTTCCTTCCCGACCTCCGACGCGCTCTTCGACTGCGCGTGGTCCGAGTCCCACGACTCCCTCTGCGCCGCCGCCTCCGGGGACGGCTCCGTGCGCCTCTTCGACGCCGCGCTCCCGCCGGCGCAGAACCCCGTGCGCCTCCTCCGCGAGCACGCGCGGGAGGTGCACGGCCTCGACTGGAACCCCGTCCGCCGGGACGCCTTCATCTCCGCCTCCTGGGACGACACGCTCAAGCTCTGGTCCCCCGACCGCCCGGCCTCCGTCCGCACCTTCCGGGGCCACGAGTACTGCGTCTACGCCGCCGCCTGGTCCGCGCGCCACCCGGACGTCTTCGCCTCCGCCTCCGGGGACAGGACCGCGCGCGTCTGGGACGTCCGGGACCCCGCGCCCACGCTCATCCTGCCCGCGCACGACCACGAGGTGCTCTCGCTCGACTGGGACAAGTACGACCCCTCCATCCTCGCCACCGCCTCCGTCGATAAGTCCATCCGCGTCTGGGACGTGCGCGCGCCGCGGGCGCCCGTCGCGCAGCTCGCCGGACACGGCTACGCCGTCAAGCGGGTCCGTTTCTCGCCGCACCGCCAGGGCATGCTCATGTCCTGCTCCTACGATATGACCGTCTGCATGTGGGACTACCGCAAAGAGGATGCTCTGCTCGCCAGGTACAACCACCACACCGAGTTCGTCGCGGGCATCGACATGAGCGTCCTCGTCGACGGCTTGCTCGCCAGCACCGGATGGGACGAGATGGTCTACATCTGGCCATTTGGGACCGATCCAAGAGCCATGTAGCACGCAGATGCAATAGACCAGGTGATTTGTACTGTTTGTTTTCAGCTTTGCATTGGGCGGTGGTGATACGAATACATACTCCTACATGTTCAGTTACTATCTCCTCCTCAAATGAGTTGAAAAAGTTGGAATAATGTAAAAATTGTTGCCAAATTGACATAGCTTCTTACTGCCTTTCTCATTTTTTTGTGTGTGGAAGTGGAAGTTAACCTGGCAGGAGCTCCGAGCTCTGGCCTCTCTTATAATAGTAAGAAGGAAATGGTTCACAACCTCATAACACCTGATGGGAACCATAGGCCACGATAACTTGCCCTTTTAGTCCAATAACATAATAATCAGTTCCAATTTACAAATGCAGAGAACCTACCAATAATAAGAGGGTTTCTAGCTAATCTTGTAAAAGCTGGTGGAATGCTCCTCTTTTGAAGGACGCCACCTGTTAAGATTTTGTTACAAAACAACAGCAGAGCAAGAAGATTGCATTTCTCTTCACTGTCGGTCATCCACATCAATTTTTCCTTGGAACTATTATTAGTTCCAGTGATTTGGATACCTTAGAGGTTTGTTGACCATTGACAACTGTTCGCATGAATTGAGGTCCGGTGTGTTTTGGTATAGTTGGACATTCTGTAATGGGGTCCATAGATGAATGAAGTTACCTTACCTGTCTACTATGTCGATCTCGGTTTTGTGCCCAGTGGTATCATGTACTCACTCCATGCCAAAGTTAAAACGTCTTATAATTTGGAACAGAGAGAGTACTGCTTTATAGATCGTCTTCTTTTTCGGTCCACTAAGCAGTAGATCTATGGTGCTATGACATCAGGGGTTTACCTGATGAGCCATCTGTTCTCCCAGAAAATAATCTTGGTGCCATGGTGTAGCATATATATGTAGGCACATTAAAAATATATCATTTATTTTGCCACTGGAGCAGCCACACGCAACTCATTATTATTTAGTGATTTGAGCAAACAATTGTAGTGTAACTAGTTACTGTGCTGCTGTTATAATTGTGGGTGAACATTCATGGAGTTAAGGAAGCATTCTCTGTGGTACCAACTCGTTACAAGTTTGAGCTTTACTGGTTTAACCCAAATATAGATAGCTGAAGTTGCCATGAATTCCAGGCCATGGCATGTCGAATACATTAGAAAAAGGGCTAATAAACTTTGAAAGGCATGAGAAAGGGAAACTGGAGAAGTGCTTTGGGGGAAAGATGATATCGTCGACAGATGAAGACCTTTTGGCGAGAGAAGATGACATGGCGCCTAACAGTTTCCGCACAACAATATGAAAACCTAGCAGTCATACTTAAGCTTCTTACTTAAGAAGTCAGTCCAATCTCATGGAACTAAGGTTGTACTTGAAATGCAAAACTTCTCTATATCTTGAGGAATCATGTTTCCTGTGAAATTCCGTAGAGAATAGTATTGTTGAATTCTTGTGTTTCTCAATTCTAAACAAAAACTGGTCGCCTATTGAACATACCATGGGGACAGCAAGTGCACAGCTGCGGTGTTTCTACACCTGACAAAGATTTGGCTTTTGTCAAAAATGGCATATGATGTTTTATGGTCCAAACATAAAATGTGTGGTGTATTGTATTAGCCCTTTTTGACGAAGTAAAATGTGTTGAGCATTAGCGGCATTTGTGGGCATGAATCATAAAGGAGATCAAGCTCTCTTGATTTTTTTTTATTTATATTAATTCTGCATTGACAGTTTGGCTCGCACTGGAATGCTATTCTTGTGCTGGTACCCGTCAATCCGTGCATTTGGTCCAAATCAAAATAGTACTCGCAGGCATGGCTTTGAAGAGACACCTTTTCTGCGCCAGCCAGGTGAATTTGGGATGAAGGGGAGTGTTCCTATTGCTCTGCTGCTGCTGCTGCGGCGGCGGCGGCCAAGATGAAACAGCATCAGATCAGGCCGACAGCGTCTGCTGGTTTTATTCAGCCGAAGATGAAACTGCATCAGATAAGCCCCGGAATACTGGTACCTTCGGCGACGCAACAGAGGAACCTTATTTTTTATTTCAGAAGCAGCAGAGGATTGTTGCATACTACCTTTTCGTCCAAAAAAGAATGCAATATTGTTGCATCTTGCATGCTCTGTTTTCGTCTAAAAAACTATTGTGGATATAAATCTGGACAAATGCGAAGGCATTTGCGTGCGGTGCTTACCTGAATCTGTACAAGCACTTCTCGTCCTGCACTCCTGCTTCAGTGCTACATCTGCACCTGCCATGCCGACGACTTTCCCCTTTTCCGCTCAATGAGGTTCGCAATCGGCTTCAGCACTGAAGACGCAAAACAGAACTCTACGTTTTTGTGTTTTTTTTTTGGGGCATGTTTAGTTGGCGATTTTTTTTGGGAACGGATACTGTAGCACTTTCGTTGTTATTTAACAATTAGTGTCCAATCATAATCTAATTAGGCTTAAAAGATTCGTCTCGTGAATTTCGTTTAAACTGTGTAATTAATTTTATTTTTTATTTATATTTAATGCTTTATGCATGCATCCAAAGATTTGATGTGACAAGAAATCTTGAAAAAAATTTACAAAATTTTAGGAACTAAACCGTCACTTAAGACGCCGTCCGGCCGTCTGGTTGCACATGCATAATGCGCCTTTTTTTTTCTTGCAAGAGCGCCCAGAGCTGCACAATAAGTTCATCAGTTACATTGGCTCCTTGTCTAGCGATCTTGTCCTGTCGGCTCAGCAAGGTCCAATACTCCACAACCTGCACTTGTCTATGGGCCTGGCGGAAGAGGACTCTAGATCCCAGAGCCCTGGTAGCTAATTGTTACGCTTCTTATCATTATCGTCTCACTCATGATCATGAGATCTTGAACTGATTATACGGAGTAAATGTTGTGAGAGAAAAATACTATTCTGACTAAAAAAAGAAGCCGAACAAATCGAATATGGGGTAAGCCGAACGGGGCCATGGTTCCGGTTGAAAAAAGAAACCTAATATAGAGTATAAGGTTCCTGCCTTTCTGGCTACACACTGCTCATGTAACGGACCTCATTTGTACCTAGCGTTTACATGTACAAGGTACTTCTTCTTTTTACCGCCTTCCACTATCACCACTGCATTACTGCATATATATATACATATCACACGAGTTCCTTGTAACAACCGCCTTCCAGATATATTGGCCGTTGCGTTTACTGCATAAAAAAATATACATTTAAAATACTACGAGTTTAAATTGTTGTGAGAGAAAAACAAAAACCGGAAAAAGAAGTCGAATAAACCGGATTTTAAGACAGGCGAACAGAGCCAAGTATAGCTGTTTTTTCTAGATTTATAATCAGATACAGATAGCGTTAGATGTGTCGGGTATTGATACACACATTACATACATATTAGAAATCTAACTTTAAATATTCAGATTTCTTTTTGCGAATGTTAAATATTCAGATTTCAAATATGGTACATACATATATTAAATGTCTAGATTCATCATATATAAAAATAATCCATTTAATGTATAAACCCAAATCGGAGGAGCGGATAATGGGAAGTAGCTGTCCTGATTTACGTCTACTGCTCTAGTACTTGTCACTCGAGTGTTTGTCGTCATTTGTATCTTCAATCTCTGGCCAACGGGTTTTCCCCTTACTGCTCATCCTTGTCAGCTGCAGGAAGACGGAGATTGGCATTGCAAGAAGACGGAGAAAAGATGTCGCAGTATTAACTGCTGCCAGTATGGAAACGGAACCTATGAAGAAGCTTGTACTACTACTACATAGTGCCGCTTTCGCTCCCTTTTGCATGCTTTTGCCCTCGAAAGTCGAAAGCGCATTGTGATGGCTGCAGAAAATGCAAAGGTTGTGTGGCATGGCCCAATCAAAGCGTACCAGGACTCCAAGAGTGGCCATGGCTGAATCTGATCCCCATATATGGTGCCCACATGCGCTGTGCTTTGTTCGGTACGTTGCGCTTTCATTAATCATTTATTAGCCGTACCATTTCAGCGAAATAATAGTGTTTTTCTTTTATAATAAACCAGCATTAGCCGTTTTTCCAGCCAGCCGAACAAATGCAGGCCAGCTTCTTTGTATATGGAGGCCTGTACAACAGCCATCACTTTGTTTTCTGAGGAATCCTTGAAGTCTTGAACCATCAAACCAGAAAGGAAATTCGGTCACCACAACTCCCTGCTGTCCATTCCTTTTCTGCATCTTTCATGGACACCGCTTACTAGTAATCTGTAGAGATTTATTTGTTGCTATACTATGTACGTGTACTGCAGTACAGTGTTGTTGTATTGTATTGTATGCACTCCATCGCACTATTCAGAACTTTTGCTAACAACTGATGATGAGAGAGAGAGAGAGAATGATTGTGGGACTATTTAGATCTAAGGAGCTATTAGCTGCCAAAATTAGTTCTAGCAGATCTGAACAGCCCAAATTAAAAGCTCAAAATGGATTATTTAGCTAGTAAAAAGTTATTAGTTAGCTTTTTCTAGGTAGCCGCTAACATTTAGCTGCATTGGACATAAATAGGTTTTATACGTAAAAATGCCAGTGAGCTAAGACCATATTTGAATCCATTAGCTGCTAATAGTTAGCTACTTATCTCATAGCTAATATTAGCTAGCTAACTATTAACATATATTAGCTGGTTTGGCAACGATAGTCGTTAGCTAGATATTTAGCTAATAATTAATTAGATTATTGGAAGCTAACTATGAGCTCTATGGATCCAAATGATGTCTAATCATGAGAGGGGCACCGACTATTCCTCTTCTTGCCCAAAACCGCTGTACCTAGCTAGAAAGTGCCATGGAAGGCATATGATGGAGACAATAAGAAAGCTAGTACGAAGCGTAAAGATGGTGGGAGAGGCATCACCTGTCCTGTTCAGTTAACCACGTGGGCTGCTTTCTTGTGAGGAGATGACAGGGAAACGAAGGCCGTGACGCGGAGAAGCACGCCTCCTCGCAACGACAGCCTGAATTCCAGCTCACCTCTCCATTTTC